GCACAGGGTGGCATGGGAGGCTTCAGTGCCAGTGCTCCGAGCCCACCCGCATGACGGTCGGTCCGCAGACCGTGCTTTGAGAACCACAGGGCTCCAGGTCGAGGCAAACGCTTTCTGCCACTGACAAGCCACCTTTCCGGCGCTCAGACAGGAGAGCTTTCGAGTGGCATGCAAAGCCCGACATGTCACTTTCCTGGAGAGACTAGGGTGGCATGGGAGGCTTCAGTGCCAGTGCTCCGAGCCCACCCGCATGACGGTCGGTCCGCAGACCGTGCTTTGAGAACCACAGGGCTCCAGGTCGAGGCAAACGCTTTCTGCCACTGACAAGCCACCTTTCCGGCGCTCAGACAGGAGAGCTTTCGAGTGGCATGCAAAGCCCGACATGTCACTTTCCTGGAGAGACTGGCTGCTTCAGCCCTGTCAGAACTCACGCTGGGGGGCAGGAAGGAACATTTGGTCTGACTCGCTGCCATAGCTGGGTTGCCCTGTACATGCTGACGGGGCACAGCAGACCTCAATTGGGCACTGGTGGATTCAGTGGGCTGTGGGAGCTCCTACCCTACCCCCCTCCTCTCTAGTGACAGACTTTTATTGGACAAGGCCTAAAGGGTTCCCAACTCATTTGCCAATTTAAGAAGGATGGGGGTGGGAGGAGGGGGAAAAAGTGTAATGTGAATGAGTTTCACTGTTCCTTCCTAAAAGATATCCCCAGGGGCCCAGCTGATCAACTCCTCCCCCTCTCTTCCTCCCTCAACACCACCCCTTCCCTCCCAATGCCTCCTGTATCTAAGGCAGGATCCCTACCAGCCAAGCTCCACGCGACTGCCAGAAGCATCTACCAGATCCCTGCAGCCTTTAGGTGCTGCAGGGCAGCTCCCACGTGCTGGCTCTGCAGCTCCCATTGGCCAGGAACCGTGACCAATAGGAGTGGTGGAGGCGGTGCCTGCAGACATGAGAGCAGCATGTGGAACCTCCCTGGCTGCCCCCTGTACCTAGGGTTAAGCAGGGACCTGGCAACTGTTTCTAGGCACTGGGGTAAGTACAACCAGGACCCCACATCCTAAACCCCCTACCCCATCCTGGAGTCTCCTCCTACACCCAAATCCCATCCTGAAGCCCACTCCCCCTGCACCCCACATTCTGCCTCAGCTGAGAGCCCCCTCCTGCACCCCAATTCCCTTCTCCCCAGCCCCACCCCAGAAACCACCCCCCCCAACCAGACTCCTCACCCTCTACAGCACCCCAACTCCTAGCCCCAGCTTGATGAAAGTCAGTGAAGGGGCGGGGGACAAGAGGGGGAAGAGAACCAGTGACAGAGAGGAGGGATAGAGCCAGCAGGCGGTGGGGCTGCAGAGAAGATGTGGGACAAGGGGAGTCTTGGTGAAGGGGTGGGGTAGGGAGTCCCTCAAGTTTAAGAACCGCTGGAATAGCTCAATAGGGTTCAACAGACACGCCCCGAAAGCCAGACCATCTGTCCAGTTTCTGTAGTGTGCCGGTGGCAAAAAAACCCACTTCAAGTTTAAACCTTGTGCTGCTAATAATTCTTTCAGTGAACTAACAACAATGCTAGTTTTATATTATTGTTAGCGCCGTTACGGAGGACTGAACTGGATTTGGACTGCCTCTGACTTCTACTTAAACAATTAAATTCTTTAAAATTACTGACCTAGTTCATTCAGATAGCTGTACGGTCTCCAGTCTGCAGTTTCTCTGTCAAGGACTTTGTGACTGAGCTGTTCAAAAAGCATGACAATGGGTTAACACTGACACGAACCAAAACAACCCCCACCCACCCGAGACCTTGGACCCGACTCGACCATCAACCCCACACGGTATGTGGACTATTACTTCTGCCTCATCGACAGCTCTTTTCTATCGAGAGCCTGAGAGTGTGTCGCTACCATATGGGAAAAGTCACAAAGGAAGGACACGTCACGAAGCAATGTACACAAGCGTGCTGGAAAAGTGCATGACGTCCTAGGGCTACCATGAATTATGAATCCAATGTTTGTGCAAATGGAGAGACCCTGGCGGCTTCAACGCGAACGATGAAGATGAATAGATCAAGGAAACCTACATGGGCATGCAGGCACAAATGGAATAAGGGGGATTTAACTATCTGTCGATATATTTAGTTAGCAGATATAACAGATACAAGATTTCTCACAATTCAAGGAAAATAGCATCAGGAAGAACAATGCACGAAGCCACCAGCTGCTCTGCCAACAAAATCAGAAGGGAGTCCAGGGCTTCCATCCTCGCACCGCCGCTGGAAAGTTTTGTCTTAGAGTTTGGCATCTGGGTCATGCCATGTGCCAAGGCAGCGCGAGCAGCTGGCTTCTGTGCAAAACAGCCCCCATCGCCAGCAGCAGCGCCTGGCAAAGTCTGCTATTGTATGAAGCACAGTATCAGTATCCTCTGGAGTTTGCTGCCATTTCTAAAAGTGTACGTCAAGCTAATTCTGAATGAGACTAGCATTTAGCCAGAAGCTGTCTAGGAGGCACCGCAGACACACAGAGGCCCAGAAGAAGCACTGAAGAGTTTGGGCTCTATCTGAGGCCTGACCTGGCAAGCAGTGTTCCTTCTAAATTGTTTCCATCCGTGGGAGGAATAAATTTTGTTAAGTGCATCGAGGCATGTGCAAGTGTGTACCACCAGGAGAAACACATACTGCCAGTTGTGAGTGCTCTGCTAATCAGCTGGACCGCACCTGAATCTCTCCTACCTTTCCGGCGCTCAGACAGGAGAGCTTTCGAGTGGCATGCAAAGCCCGACATGTCACTTTCCTGGAGAGACTGGCTGCTTCAGCCCTGTCAGAACTCACGCTGGGGGGCAGGAAGGAACATTTGGTCTGACTCGCTGCCATAGCTGGGTTGCCCTGTACATGCTGACGGGGCACAGCAGACCTCAATTGGGCACTGGTGGATTCAGTGGGCTGTGGGAGCTCCTACCCTACCCCCCTCCTCTCTAGTGACAGACTTTTATTGGACAAGGCCTAAAGGGTTCCCAACTCATTTGCCAATTTAAGAAGGATGGGGGTGGGAGGAGGGGGAAAAAGTGTAATGTGAATGAGTTTCACTGTTCCTTCCTAAAAGATATCCCCAGGGGCCCAGCTGATCAACTCCTCCCCCTCTCTTCCTCCCTCAACACCACCCCTTCCCTCCCAATGCCTCCTGTATCTAAGGCAGGATCCCTACCAGCCAAGCTCCACGCGACTGCCAGAAGCATCTACCAGATCCCTGCAGCCTTTAGGTGCTGCAGGGCAGCTCCCACGTGCTGGCTCTGCAGCTCCCATTGGCCAGGAACCGTGACCAATAGGAGTGGTGGAGGCGGTGCCTGCAGACATGAGAGCAGCATGTGGAACCTCCCTGGCTGCCCCCTGTACCTAGGGTTAAGCAGGGACCTGGCAACTGTTTCTAGGCACTGGGGTAAGTACAACCAGGACCCCACATCCTAAACCCCCTACCCCATCCTGGAGTCTCCTCCTACACCCAAATCCCATCCTGAAGCCCACTCCCCCTGCACCCCACATTCTGCCTCAGCTGAGAGCCCCCTCCTGCACCCCAATTCCCTTCTCCCCAGCCCCACCCCAGAAACCACCCCCCCCAACCAGACTCCTCACCCTCTACAGCACCCCAACTCCTAGCCCCAGCTTGATGAAAGTCAGTGAAGGGGCGGGGGACAAGAGGGGGAAGAGAACCAGTGACAGAGAGGAGGGATAGAGCCAGCAGGCGGTGGGGCTGCAGAGAAGATGTGGGACAAGGGGAGTCTTGGTGAAGGGGTGGGGTAGGGAGTCCCTCAAGTTTAAGAACCGCTGGAATAGCTCAATAGGGTTCAACAGACACGCCCCGAAAGCCAGACCATCTGTCCAGTTTCTGTAGTGTGCCGGTGGCAAAAAAACCCACTTCAAGTTTAAACCTTGTGCTGCTAATAATTCTTTCAGTGAACTAACAACAATGCTAGTTTTATATTATTGTTAGCGCCGTTACGGAGGACTGAACTGGATTTGGACTGCCTCTGACTTCTACTTAAACAATTAAATTCTTTAAAATTACTGACCTAGTTCATTCAGATAGCTGTACGGTCTCCAGTCTGCAGTTTCTCTGTCAAGGACTTTGTGACTGAGCTGTTCAAAAAGCATGACAATGGGTTAACACTGACACGAACCAAAACAACCTCCACCCACCCGAGACCTTGGACCCGACTCGACCATCAACCCCACACGGTATGTGGACTATTACTTCTGCCTCATCGACAGCTCTTTTCTATCGAGAGCCTGAGAGTGTGTCGCTACCATATGGGAAAAGTCACAAAGGAAGGACACGTCACGAAGCAATGTACACAAGCGTGCTGGAAAAGTGCATGACGTCCTAGGGCTACCATGAATTATGAATCCAATGTTTGTGCAAATGGAGAGACCCTGGCGGCTTCAACGCGAACGATGAAGATGAATAGATCAAGGAAACCTACATGGGCATGCAGGCACAAATGGAATAAGGGGGATTTAACTATCTGTCGATATATTTAGTTAGCAGATATAACAGATACAAGATTTCTCACAATTCAAGGAAAATAGCATCAGGAAGAACAATGCACGAAGCCACCAGCTGCTCTGCCAACAAAATCAGAAGGGAGTCCAGGGCTTCCATCCTCGCACCGCCGCTGGAAAGTTTTGTCTTAGAGTTTGGCATCTGGGTCATGCCATGTGCCAAGGCAGCGCGAGCAGCTGGCTTCTGTGCAAAACAGCCCCCATCGCCAGCAGCAGCGCCTGGCAAAGTCTGCTATTGTATGAAGCACAGTATCAGTATCCTCTGGAGTTTGCTGCCATTTCTAAAAGTGTACGTCAAGCTAATTCTGAATGAGACTAGCATTTAGCCAGAAGCTGTCTAGGAGGCACCGCAGACACACAGAGGCCCAGAAGAAGCACTGAAGAGTTTGGGCTCTATCTGAGGCCTGACCTGGCAAGCAGTGTTCCTTCTAAATTGTTTCCATCCGTGGGAGGAATAAATTTTGTTAAGTGCATCGAGGCATGTGCAAGTGTGTACCACCAGGAGAAACACATACTGCCAGTTGTGAGTGCTCTGCTAATCAGCTGGACCGCACCTGAATCTCTCCTGGGAGCCGCCCAAGCGCTCAGCTTACAGGGAACACTGCTCTCAAGTATGGTTATAGGGTGGGCAGCAAGCTGGTGCACAATTCTATCCTCGTATGTTAACCTACGTGGGAGGATGAGGACTCCATCCCTACGTGGGGAGGAGTAGAAGAAAAGAGTCCTTACGCACCCTGGTGTTTGTGTAGGGCTCACTCCCATTCCGGGGCTCTGTTAGCGCTATTCAAGGTATGCACTTCACAGTTAGAGCCAACGTGGTGATGGTCAACTAGCTGTTGTGGGAAGGGCGCCCGTCAGGGATGGTCTGAGGAGGCTCCCAGCTGCCCTGGACCCTGCCTGAAGCCCATTAAACATCCCACAGCAGCCCCACATGGCCATTGGAGGCGGGGAGGGCCGGGGAGGGGCGGGGGGGGAGTACGGCTGAAGCTTTGGGTAGGCGGTGCCTTGTTTTGCCTTACAGACCAGATGCCCATGACAGTCCCCCATATGGAGGTTTGCTCCAACCTCATCCATGGGACCCGGGGCAGCCTGGGAGATTTCCTGGGGGGCCTGGAGCCAGCAAAAGGCAGTGGTCTGACCCCTATTTCCACCCTATGCCAAGTCCCCCCATAAAGTCCCAGGTCACACTGCTCAGGGGAGGGGGCTTTGGGGGAGGGGTGCAATGGGGGTGGGAGAGAACAGAGCAGGGATGGGAAGAGATGTGGCGGGGACAGGGTCTGGGGCAGAGGAGGGGGTTGTCCCAGGCCCTGCCCCCCTATAGGGATGGCCCTGCCCCCAGATCTCTTTCTAGGCAGTCATGTCCCATTTTGTATGTGTGCACTCAGACTACGTCTACACTGCTGGCTTTGCTGGCAGAGCCTATGCAAATGAAGAGTGGATTAGAATATTGCTGTGCTTCATTTGCATAATTTATTCTCACTGTTTTTTGTGCCGGGGTGTTTGAGCAAAAACAGTTTGCATAAATTATGCAAATGAAGCACAGTGATATGCTACTCCACACTTCATTTGCATAGGCTCTGCCGGCAAAGCCGGCAGTGTAGACGAAGCCTCAATGAATAAAATACAAGAGATTATAGCTACTTGTACAGCTGTAGTACCGTGATTCACTCATTACTTTCTAGAACAGTCTTGCTAAAAAGGAACAGGCAGACATGTTAACATGGAGTCCCCACACTTGGAGTTAGAAAGTGGGGAATTATGTACACAAATGCAGGTTGGCCCATCAGGATAAAAGCTCAGGCCTCAACAGGTGTGATGACACCCATTAAACACACAGATAACAATTTGGACTAATGCTAGCACTCAATATTGAAAGGAAAAGGCTACCCAAGTCAGATACTCGTTCCTAATCTATTGGAAAGAGTTGCTCAAGTTCTGCCCCACGTCTATTGTCCTTGAAACAGAAACTAATCCAGAGTCATCCTATGATTTGCGTGGGGCAGGAGGTCCGACTACATGATTCCAAGGATCTCTTCTGGCATCAACGCCTACAACTAGATTTATCTTACGTTAGATCAAACAGGCAGAGAGTTACAGTAGCCATCTCTGGGGCTTTATTCTGTTCTTTGACATTTTCTCTCTACAACCGTCTTGCACAGCCAGCAAAGCTCAAATGTGTTATCAGCCCATTGGTCGCCGCCCCCCCGTCTGCCTCTCAGCCACTCATCTAATTCCCTCACCCCCAAAAAACAGACTGAAGTGGAGACAAAGATGATAAACCTTCTGGCTGCATGTGACATTTCTAATCACAGACATTCTGCCTGAGAACAGTGGCTGGTGATTGGACATGCTTGCGTCTCAGCTGGTTCCTTTGTGTATCTGGCCTGCACTCACAGACAAGATAGGAGGCATTCTGTTTTTATTCAGCATTTTCTTTTTCTAACTCTAAAACCAGGAAAGCATTGACTGAGGCACCCATATGCCGGGCGCAGAGATGGTGCAGTCATAAAACAGACAAATGGCAATCAATCACTATAAAGCAGACAGCTTTGCAGCTAGGAGAGTAAGGATTAGGATGTGTTTTGGTAAATGTCAGTTTCACTGTACACATGAACTGATGACAACATATTTCCACAGATAATCAAAATTCAGAAATGCTGCCTGAGGACTTATTAGAGTTCGATTTAAAGATATTTGCTTTGGTCATTCTGACATGCGATGCTTACAGTTCGTGGTTTTTCAGTGATGGGTGACAAAATAACTTTCATTAGATTAACTTCTGTTGGTGAGAGAGACAAGGTTTCGAGCTACACAGAGCTCTTCTTCAGGTCTCTGAGGGGTGAAGTGTTTCCAGGCATAAGAAAGAGAGCCCCAGCTACTTAACCTGGATTAGCCCTAAAGGGCAAATATGTAGCTCTTGCTAATTATAGAAGCTTCTATTATCTTTTGAAATTTAAAATTGTAGCTTGCTTGTTTATTCATGTTTATTTGCTTTAATCTGGTAAATAACTCTCATTTTCATTTCCCGTTTAAGGAATTTTTATATAGCTTATTATAGGATTGGCGACAAGTGTTTAGTTTGGCTTGAGATCAAAGGTGCAATTGAATTGAGGCTAGTAAGTAACTAGTCCTTTGGGACTGGGAGTAACCTGAATATTGCTGTGATTCTTGGTGTAAGGCACCATCTATCACAAAGGTATGCTCAGCTGGGTGGAAAGACAGATCGGGCTGTCTGTGACTGCATGTTAAGACAGGGCAGAGTTTCAGGAGGCCAGTAGCCTCTTACACCTGGCTGGTGAAGGGAGGGGGCAGAGGAATAAATCAGGGAATGGAAGTACTTCCCCATTCCCTCCTCCCCACTTTCCCAAAACTCTGCCCTTGATGTTAATGCTGTTATAATGACTGAGTAGTTTTCACTTGATAATTGGTTCATGAAATCTAAGTATAGAATTAACTGAAGTTGGTTTTCTAACATTTCTCCTCCCCCAATAATTTTGCATAACTGTGAAAATTTAAAACCAAGAAAAATTTTAAAATGCTCTCTAAAAAAAACCCCTTATATAGTATGGACTGGTACAGCTTCAAAGACTCCAAAGTCCATTTGTACCAGCTGAGCCTGGGCCGCCTTTTCTTTAAGACGGTGCAGTAGAAGCACCGTGTAAGGAATGATGATTCCTAATCCATCTGCACCATTTGGGTGACATTTGTTAAAGTCGCAGTTTCATTAAGAGCTTTGTTTTCCCAGAGTTTATAAATAGAGCTGGCAGAATAGGCTTTAAAAAAAATTTCTATGGATAATATTAACCTTCATTTAAAAAATTGTATTGATTGACATTTTCACAGCAGTGGGAAACTGGGAGGAGGTTCAGACAACACTTTAATGACAACAGGCATTGAGGCTCAAAAGGTAAAACTTTACAGCTGTTAAAATATGATTTGTCCACATCACATGTCAAAATGTATAAAGTAAATATCCTTAAATCAAACTCTAAGTTCTCAAACTTCATCTTTTTTACTTTGCCTATTGATACATTTTTAATCTTCATCAATGGAAGTATTTTTTGTTGGTTAGTTTAGGTCTGTACGATGATTGACTTTTACTGATATTCACTGATAAAAATCAAATCCTTCCAACCGGGTATATAACTCATTTTTTTTTTTTTGAGTAACTAACGGAAAATGGACATGAAAAGCTTTGGTCCAGAACTGATTGTTACAAAAATAAAATTGTTTTGGACCATTTCTCAGTTTTTACAAGATAGTAACTGTGTGGAGGCCCGATTATGCTATGGTAAGTTATTTTCTGCCAAGATGGAATATTCTTTTCATCTTCATAGTGGAACAGCTGATTTGGGAATTTGTTTTTCTTATAGTAAATTTTCCCAATGAAAAAAGCCTCACCTATAATCTTATATAAGGCTGAAAACTACTTCTCATCTGAGCAAAACTTCCACTGAGATCAATGAGAGTCTAGCCTGAGTATAAATATCACTATCTGGCTACATGCCAGACAGATCACTGGGACTATCTGGCCAACCATTTGCAATCTGACAAAGATGGAATTTTTTAAGAAGTTT